CAGCTACGGTTGTTTAACAGCACCTCCCTGGTTTAGGTCTTTGGCATCCTGCTAGGCCGAAAGAGGACGATAAAGAGGATCTTAAAAGGCGATAGAAGATGTAGTAGTGGATTCGAATACAGCGTCCTACTTTTCTATGAAATTGTACAGTTATCAAAAAAGAAATTGAGGGAAAGTAAACGGCCAGTCGTCTCGTCTGGAGGGAGGGAGGAGACACTTCCTGTGTTGAAGACACTGAATGATAGTTCGGTACAAATAGGGGAGGATAGTAGCAGTTGCCTTAATTCTGACCCACTCGTACAGCCAAGCAGCTTACGTCGCTGTTTTGGCTGCCTCTATGTTAAGAGAATGTATTCTCCCGCAGGAGAGATTGTAAAAAAAATTTTTCGGCACGCTAATAAATAACGTAAGCGCGCGCAGCTGGCATTTGATTTTATCACTAAAAACTTGGATGCGGGACTCTGATTTGGGCTTACTATATATGTATCGGTTACTGGAAATGAATGTGAAGTGTAAAAAAGAGAATAATTACCGCGTAGAAGAAACCCTTGTTGTCGTGTGTCCAACTAATGCCGCTAAACTTCACCCGTTCTAATTTGTCGGGCAAATCTTCTCCGGTGGAAACCTTTTTCACCTGCGAAAGAAAAGGAAAAGGAGCATGCTACAGAAGCTGGCCGCAATTCCGGAAGGTACTCGCGCACGATGAAGAGGAGGTATTAGGCCTATTTACAAACGTTCCTTCACGTGGTGTCTTCTTTTAACTCATTGTTCAAGTAAAGAACAATTAAGGGTTTTAAAGTGAAGACAAATTTAAACTTCAACTTACTGGTCTGTAAGTATTTCGGGCTTAAAAAAAACAACTTTGGAATAGGGCCAGTTGGCCAAAATAAGAAAAAAAATACAGCCCAAAACCTTTAGTTGCATCACCTCTAGTAACCTAGGCAATCGTCCGAGCGACATAGCACAGTTGCACCTTAGCTCAAGGAAAATAAATGCTTTATGAATCGACTAACGCTAAGACCTGTTCGCAATGACTGTCGGTCCGAAAAGACTAATTCAACAATACGTCAGAAGGAGGTACCTTAATTACGACCCAGTCGGAGCCGGCGTGACTTAGGCCATATGCAAAGTACTCGCCGTCCTCTGAAAATCCGTAAGTGCTTAGGGCGGTAAGACCCTCGGCATCCAAGGCATTTGGATCGAAGAACACCTTTGATGAACCGCCCACCTGATCCATAACATAAAGCACGCTAAGGAGAGAGTGAAGAGAAGGCCAAAAGCATACTCCTGATTCTGTAAGCCACTGTTATAGAAATAAAAGTAGCGAGGGCCGCGTTTAAAAGGGCAGCGGTACTTCGGAAAGTCCCAGAGGGTAGCGATCCTACAAATGGGGAAATAATATGTCAGTTACTTGGCACGGATATCCTTTTTCACAGGGCAGGAGTTAATAAAGGGCATAGTCAGGGCATTTTGAGCGTCCACAAACGCCTTCGTTTCTTCGGAATTGGGGTCTTCAAGCCATCGGTACGGATCATGCACCTGCAAAATTTAAATGCATACTTTATTATTTTAACGAATATTCACGAAGATACAGACCGATAAATATGTCGTGCGAGAAGTTTGAAGACCTGGAATATGCTGAAGAAGAAAATACTAAAATTAGACGGAAAAATCGCTACTAACAACCGCCCACCCGAAAATAATCAGAGCCGTGCACCCGTTGTTCACTGGGAAAGCCCCGGGATCCAATGCAATCCCGACCGAATTTTATCCACACGGCAGCCCCGGCTGTGCCAAGAGATCTGGTGGCGTAGGCAGGTTTCTAGGACTTTTAAAGAGGCGACAATCGTCCACCTCCACGGGCAGGAAAAGGATGGGTGTGTCAGTGATAATCACAGATGAATCTCGATGTTTAAAATTGCTAGGGTCATCTTTGCTCGGATCCTTCTCAGTCATCTCAACAGACATCTGGAAGATGGACTTCTAGAAAGCTGGTGTAGTCTCCAACGACACCGCGGAACCACCAACGTGAACTACAAGGGAAAGGACAGGCGATGCGGACCTACCTATACACTACCTTCATGGATCTGACAAAAGCGTTTGATATGGTGAATCGTGATGGACTCTGAAACGTTATGCAGAACTTCAGATACCCTAAGCGATTCATGTGCATAGTGCGTCGGTTTCCTGAAGGCATGATGGCGCGCGCCGCGGAAAATGGGACGATCTCCAAAACATTCACAATGATCAATGTGGTGAAACAGGGCTGCGTACTCCAATCCACCCACTTCATCTTCATGTTATCATGCTGATTAAGGTCTACCGTAAAAAGCGCCATGGGATCAGCAGCATCTACATGACTGACGGCCAGTACTCAAGGCCTGATGCATGCAGGCTGTAATGCGTCTCTCCACGACTGCTATCTATGACCTGCTCTTCAAAAACGGCTGCGCGCTCAATACCGTAAAAGAGGAGGATAAGCAATGGAACATGCAGACACCCTAAAACTTAAGGCTGAGCATAGACGAGGACAAAATGGTATTCAT